CACTGTACCAGAACGCATTTACTTGAAATAAAAAATGTTATAGCTTCGTAATAAATGTTTTTCAAAAAGAGCGTATGCGAAATGTTCCATTACTGAGCTTTAAGAAACCTCTTTTGAAGCCTCTTAGATAACGGGAACATTTATTTCTGGGAGGTTTTAGATTTCTAGGTAAAATTATTCGTTAACAAATTCATTGGAAAGTCAACTTGTTCAGTGAGTTAAGTGTTGTTAACATTAAACTATAAACTGATTTGTTTAGTGAATACGAATGAAATATTTACTTATGATGTATACATATATATATAGATACGCATTAGTTATAATACTGAACATAAGTCGGTATCCTTTCAGAAGAAACATTGGTCGCATAGTAGCTTTTCGCAAGAGGTTGTTAATATCACATGAACTTATTTTCATTTTCAAGAATTTTTATTTATTAATTTTTTTACATAAAAGTGTGTCCTTAAGGCAATTCCCAATCGCAACTTTCATCCATTGAAACGTCCTTTAAGTCTCCATATACTTTCGAAGATGACATGAAGCCAGTCAAAAGTGAAAAGTGTAGGGTTAAGCAAGCTTGCGAAATGTCTGAACCACTTGGTGTGAGTGGCTTTTTGTTATATTCCTAATGTAATATGCAGTTTTTTCTTCTTACTTCCGTTTTATTTTTAATTCAGTTTTTCGGTTTTTTTCCTCATCTTTTAATTCTTCTCATGCACAAATAGGAGACATTTACGGTATGAAACATTATTTTAGTTTGTGGCAAATGACTGCAAAGTGACCTCAAGTCAAGTGCAAACGAAAGAGAGTCCTTTTTGCACTTTTGACTTTGGTTTGCGAAATTGGCCAACAATGTTAATTAAACGTCAGCTTGAAGTCCTTTTGCCTTTTTGTCCTCTTGGTCTATTTTTGCCGCTTTTCACTCTTTCTTGCATGCTATAAGGGACGAGTATATAAAGTAATTAAAAAATGGAGAAGTGGATGGTAATCGAAATAGGAATATATGGAAATTTTACTTTAATTTAATGTGATTAGAGTGTGAGAATAGCTATTTTCGATTTTATAAGGTTTTCAGTGCATTAATATTAAAATTTCACCAAAAAAGGCTTAAGCACAACAGAAGAATAAGAAATACTTTGGACACTAACAAAAGCCTGACAAAAGAACAAGAGAACAAGAGAATTTTAGTGACAGAGTTTGGCATTAAACTGTTCTTATATATACTCTAAATTAAATTGATTTTATTAAAAAAATAAAAGTAATACCACAAGCCAGTATAACTTTAATTGATGTATTCTGTGTTGCCTATGATCTTACAGGCATCAGTCAAAAATATGAACCTAATATTGTTGTTGTTGAGATCTATTAATGAGATAACATCAAAGGAATTACAAAGGGTATATAAGGTCAGATTGTGGGTTGGTAATGGTACTGTGACAGAGGAGACCATTATTTAGAACTAAGAATTGATTAGGGGTGTATGGAGTTTAAATTGAAGTCAACGTGGGTCAGGGCGCACACACCTAGCCACTCACATAGGGGGGGGGGTCCAAGGATCCGGTCTAGCTTATGTAGGGCGCACATTGAGAATTTATGCATTTATGCGTGACAAGCAATTGTTTTGTACATGGCTATATCCTGATATCAATTGCGCTAGGATAGTTCTTGAAGCGCGTGGGAAGCGTTGTTCTTCCCGGGAAACATTAGGCGGAAGTTTTTTGAGAACTTTGTAGCAGAGCAATGGAGTTAGTAAAAGATGTACACACAAGATGTACATATTGCTAACAACAACAGATAAACAATTTTTTGTTTGATTTTTTTCGGGAGAACAAAGTTGCACTTTAAAATGACTGAATAAATTGCAAGATATAACATTTTTATGGTGAATGAGTAAAACTTTTGTGATCATTTTTAAATTCTGACTTTTTTTTTCAAATTTTTTGCTTTGATTTCATTAATCATTGCCAGCTCAAATTTGAAAAAATTAATTTTACTATCGAACAATTGGCGTAAGCTTTCTTGTTAGGTTTTGGTTCTATTTATGAAACTTAATCTTTTTTTTTACAAAAACAATTTTGGTGTGACACCTTCACAGTTCTATTTGACATTTGTCAGATCCGTTAGATTCGTTAGATCCGTCAGACCAGATATCGTACCATACCCTGTACCATAAGCTAAAAAAATGTTTTAGTTTTAATGTATTTGAAAATGAAAATTCTCGTAGCTTCTTTTGAACTTTCTCCATAAAAGACCAACCAGAATAAGGGGTGCATTCTTATAAATAACTTTTACAAAAACAAAACAGAAATCCTCAATTTATATAAAATATTTATCACTAAAAATAATTTTTGTCCTATGATAAAAAATCAGATTCGGATAGAAAAGAGGGTAATAGTGAGAAAATTTTCATATTCACATAATTTCTTACTTTTAATCAAATGAAATCTTGGGCTAATTATACAGCGATTTCGTATATCAGGAAATACCTACAGATCTGTTACAGATTCAGTTTCTTCAAATATCATTATTCTTTTGTCTATAATGCACTCAGATAAAGGAATATATCAACCGTAATCTTTTTGTGATACATGAAATAAACAAGGCACCAGGGACACCATCTTTATAGTTAGATTGCATAATTTTCACACTTTTAGTGGTTGTTAAACGATGAAGTAAATACAGTAAAATTATATGTAAGTCTTATTAACCTTTTTGGAAAACCTATATCTTAACAGATGATACCTTGGATGACGGTTTTTTTAATAGAGGTATGTCACCGAAACAGTGCTATCAACTCAGGACCACGGAAGGGTTAGCTTTTTATATCTTTAATTTTTTAAGATACTATGTGTATTATATTATGCGATATAAAAAGTATTAATAGTTTTTGTGACTGGATGATGTTGGTCTGCGGTTTATATGTCCCTCTTCTGCTCACAATTCGACTGCTTGAATTAAACAATCTGAATTGGGTAACAAGAGTTACGTTCCATCAAGACAATATCAGGTCACGCATGTCTGTGATGACTCGCAACAAATTTAGAGAACTTGGATGGGAACTTTTGTTGTAGTCTGCGTGTAGCTCCGACCTACAAAGTTCTACACCGGTTGAATTATGAAGTTACTTGAAAAATGGCAGAAAAGTCATATACCTATAATATACTTCAATATAAAGTTTCTCACTGAAAATTAATTTTCAATAGACAATTCTTGTTCAAAAATATGCCAAAAAACGCCAGATACTTTTTATTTTACCCAATCTTTATGCAGTCGAGAATTTGATTGTCGACATATTTTTATATTTAATTCTGAGTTATAAATGATCTACCGGTCTTTTGCATATAAAATAATTGAAAGGATTTCAATATGATGATGGTGGAAAATTTGAGTAACATTCATGAGATAATTCTTATCAGTAAATGTTGGAAAGATTTTTCCTAATAGATAATACTGAATGCAAAACATTTTCATGCATTCGAATGATGTTCTACTAAGTAAAATATTGAAATAACAGAATGCAGAAAGAAAGGGACAGGGGAGCATAAGTTATTATAAACAAATGAAAAAACAATAGTAGAAATATAAATTTCCAAACTTTCGACAGAAAATGCAACAAAGAAAAGCAGTCCTTAATGTAAGCAATCACAGAGTCCTGTCAAGTCCCCAGGAACAGTTTGTTTGTATTATTTCTTCTTAATGCTTTATTTTTTGCCATACTTAAGTGCTTTACGGACTTATTGACTTTGCGTTGGTTTTGTAGTTCCGATAGAGCAACGCTCGGCAATATAAATTAAAACATAGTCAATAAAGAGTAAAATGAATTCCACAGAAAGTAATCATGTAAGGACAAAAATGAAACAAACTTCCACATTAAAATGAAATACACAGAAAATTTATTCATTTTACGAATTGAACTGAAGTATTCTTTTCTTAAAAATCAACTGAAGCAGATTTTATTGTCATTACTTATTTGTGTGTCTGTATTGCGTCTATTTTCCTATTTTATTCAAGAGGCGTACTAAAAGGGGAAGCCCTAGAATCGATGGATTTGAAAATGTTTAACTTTGAGTCCACGAATATGTTTATCTCCCATTCCACTGAATTGCTATAAAATCCATCTTAGAAAAAATTGATTACATGAGAAAATCTACGTTAACACATGAGGGGTTCTCACAGGTGGGATGTATGTTCAAGTTACTTTCTGCACCTGCAGGATGAAATTATAGTAAAATGAAGGCGAAAGGAATCTGGCATGAAAACTTAATCAAAAAATTCAAAACCTTGAAAATATGTTAGTTATGAACTCGAAGTTAATTACTGCTAAGGTAAAAATGGTAATCTGGTGAAAAATGTCGAAGGATCATTTCTCAAACCTACTACTTGACGATGGTAAGGTTGTGAATCAAAACACAGATGAATCTGAATTTTCAATTGCTGGCGATGGAATAATCGGTCCGCTTCCTGACTATGTGTAATGATGTTAAAGCAGCTATAACGCAGCTCAAAAGTAATAAAGCTCGAATCAAATCTGTTGAAATCTGATGGCAAAAAGCTGTCTAAAAGCTTACTACAGCTAAATCGTAAAATGGTCTGATAATTGCTTACTCAGGGTTGTAATTCAAATGTGCTTTGCTCATTTCCAAAAAAAAGTGATATAGTGAACAGTTCCAATTATCGTGGCATTAGTGTTTTAAAAGTGTCTGTTCTATCAAAGGTCTAGTCCGGTAAATACACTATTAACCAGATATTCACAGTGCGCACAATCTTGGAAAAGATTTAGGAAAAATAAACTAACACACAACATCTATTTTTCGATTTGAAACCCGAGTTTGACACTACGAGCAGAAACATTATCTTTTAGCTAATGAATTGAGTACAAGCCTGTGTAAATACAAGACTGTAAATATCATATGTTTAGTAATTATCAAGTAGGCTTTCAGTTACAATATAAAATCTTCTTAAAGTATTTGAAGGAGTAAAGAAATAAAAGTTTGTTGTTTCTTTAACTGGCGGATATAGTTAACGAGATATCAAGATGGCTGTGAGCAATGATACAATTTGTGCCTTCATCGATACTAGAGTAATTTCTTATAATATTTAACGATACACAGCATAATTATAGCATATGTTTCTTCGTAGACTACTATTTTGGCAATGGAATTCGATTCTGGAATAATTATTGCTGCAGATACCCACACAAGTGGTGGTCAGTACATAGATAAAACAGTGACGCAGTGGCAGTGCCGCTGATACGCAGGCTGTGGCTGATTTAGTTCAAGGTATGGTGTACTATGATAGTAACAGTTCAACAGAGTTAACAGAGATCCGCTTATGTATTACGCAGCAATGTATTTCCCCAACCTTATCTATCGCTTGCAATCTCAGTTATTAGCTGGTGTAATTGTTGCTGGCTATGATGACTCTGAAGGTGGTCACGTTTACACAATCTTACATGTTAGTATGGGGGTACCTTAGCCAATAGCTATTGAAGGTTCTGGATCACGTTTTATTTTCGTATTCGCAAAAGATAAGTATCATGCTGGAATGAAACAGGATGAATGTGTTGCTTTTGCTGTAAGTGGTATGTTAGATACTAGATGTTAAATTATTATAAAAGAATGTCAAGAGAATGCTTATTTTATTCCACAGCTATAAATCATGCACAGATCTGTGATGGTATCTCAGGTGGAGTGGTACTTATTAGCATTATTAGCTTCTGGTATAGGGCAAAGAAATTTCAAAAGTCTGCACTGGTGAAGGCTGAAGTGATGCTTTCTAACCCTCTTCTATGTTATATATTTCAATATTTTTCATTGATTCTATAAAACTTGCTTTGAAATGTAAAATTCAAAATCTTTTTATTTTAACCTTAGTACTGATATCTATATCGCTTAACCAATTAAAATTTGTCGTGCGGTGTTAATACTGGATATATTTTGTGAAACATAATCGATTAAATGTTATTGTGATATTTATATTATTGCGTTGTGATACAATACAAGTGATATTTGCATTAAGTACTAATTATTATTTTGAAAATAAAAAATACTATATTTACAAAAACGTTCTGAATTAATTATCAAGTACTCTGGGAGGTGTTTAAGTATTAAGTCTTAGTTAAGTAAATTAAACGTTAAAAGCTAAAATTTAATTTTCTTTAAACTTGAAAAATGGTGGAAATAAATACAAATAAATACTTTAACTATCAAAGCAGGTCCATTCCTGATTAATTCGAAACACACATCAAAAAATAGTCATTAACTTAATAAACCCATATTTGATTGCTTGCTCTGGAAGTGGGACTATTGACTAGTTCTGACATCATACGTGAGTTCGTTTCAAAAATCCGTTGAAGGAAAAGTGTTACTCGTATAAACCCAAAACACTACTCAGTTAACCTTAAAACCTTAACCATTAATTATCAGTTAAATAAGAGAATTTTTTTTATTTTTGATAGATAGTTTTATGGCAGCAATGATTAAGATATTCTGGAACTACAATTTCTAACAACTTTTAAGATTGTTTATCAATCTTAAGATTGTCTTTAAGATTGTTTTTCACTTGATGCAAAGGAGCCTTTTTGCGAGAGGAAGTCTTCAGCGAATACATGCTCAAACTTAAACACCGAAAGCGGTCTTTAACTGGTCTAAGCAATGCTTGCCAAATATTTTTGATTTTGTATAATTTTTGGTGGAAAGTTGATTTAATTATGGTGTTATGGTGCGTATGAGTGACGTTTTAGGAGTCTGTTAAATTAATTTTTTAAACACAATACCACACTGGAAATATTTATTTTTTAAGTAGAAATTATTGGTTAGTCCAAATCAAAATAAAAAAAAATAAAAACTTTTTAAACATATTCCTTTTTTTTTACTGAAAAATTGTATTGATGTGTTTGGTGAAAGATGTATGATAAATGTATTTCAAAAAAATACTTGTAAGGACAATGCCATCCTGAAAAATCGAAATCAAAAATATTATAAAAGAATGTTTGTAGCATATTTTTTAAAAATTCCTTCAATGAAAACAATTTCAAAAAATTTTAAAAATTAATGCCATCCTTAAAATTTTGACTTCTTAGTAATATTTAATACTGTATATAAGTAAAATACAGGAAATTAAAAAATTTTTGCGATTCATTTGGAGAAAAAAATTATGTTGAAATTTAATATATAATATTAGTACTTATATATGAACAATCTTTTAGTTCAATCAACTATCTTCAAAACGCAATAAATTTTGAGTTTCTGCCAAATATAGAACCTGAGATATGGCCGTTTAAAAATGTATCAACAATGCCAATTCTCAAAACCTCATGAATCAATATCTTCTTAAAAAAAATATTTTCCTGAGATACGGGATGAAAAGAAAAATTTCACCCCAATCGAAAGTGATGAGATCAGATTTGTAAAAGAATAACCTACAGCTTTTGCAGCTTACACTACAAGTTCGAGAGCTGGGAGAATGGGAGATCCATTTACTACTATAACCTTGCAAATATAACTTAAAGATAACTTGCAGTTAATACAATTTCATGTTTTCATTCTCCCCTTCTTGTCTACCATTTAGTACAATACTGATTTCAAAGCTTATAAATAATATTATTGCCTTAGACGAACTTACGGACTTACCTGGCACAATGATGGTGTCATTTTTAGTCCAATAGTTGATGGATTTAGGATACGCTTCCGATTGACATTCCAATGTAATATTCTGGCCAATTGCCGCACCAACTAATTGATTTTGTATCCAAATCATGGGTGGAACTGCAACAAATCCAATGAAAGTGAATCAAAGGCGAAATCGCATCAAATAAGTGAGAATGAATAAATTACGTGCAAGCAAGTGAATGCAGCAGCAGCAAAGGAGAGTGTTGTAGAGAAACGAAAGAAGTGAGTAAAGTGAAAAATGATGAATGTGGAAGCAGCAGGAGAAATGAAGCGTACAAATGTGTGGTGCCTTTGCTTGTGTGTGCTTGTGTGTTTGTGTTTGTGTTTGTGCTTGACAAAAGTTTAACTAATGACAAAATGAGAAATTTTATTTATGCAATGTAAACCAATTGGAAAGGCAAAAAAAAAGACAAAACCAAAAAGAAAACAGGCGAAGAAATGAGATTGCTGATAACCTTTGCATGAATGCAAGTGTTCCCCTGCCCGCCGCACAACCGACAAATCAAAACACAACTGACAAAATCAATTTCCATTTTCTGGCCACTTGCAGTTAAGGTATGTGCTCAAGCCTTATGTACTGGAATTTGTATATATATATATATGTGTGTGTGTGTGTGTGTGTGTAACTCTTGTCTTCCTCACTTCGTGTTTACTCTCCGCACATCACTTTTGCCAAATCGTTTTAATTATTCAAAAAATCACATCAAATGCACAGCACTTCGGTTTCGTTTTGTGTTTGTGTGTGGGTTTGTGTGTGTGTGTTAGTACTTTATTTTTATTTTTCAATTTTGCTTGAAGTTCTTAACATTTTTTTTTCTTTTCTTTTTGAGTTTGTTTTTGCTTTTGTGCTTTTGGTTCGTGTGAAAATAGTGAAGAATATTTATTTTAGAGAAAATGTTTACATGTTTGTTTGCCTTTGTAGTCATTTTGCGCTACTTTAGTGCAGTGCAAAGCGAATGGGCTGTGCAGGGGGTGTGAGTATAATAGTTGTGCTCTGCACAATATCGGTGTGAACAAACAACCAAATATTTTTTCAACAAAGTAAGTTGAGTTGAGTAATTTAAGTTTGTGCTCTTATTTTTTTTTTTGTTGTTCTTTTGCTGTTTTTCGGTATTTTTTTGGGTTTTTTATTTGGCCTTTTTTAGTGTTGTGTTATTTGAAAGGGCTTAAACAGTGGTGATGGCACTGGAAAAAATGAATTTAATAATTAGAAAATTAATTAGGAACCCCACACTAAATTTTAGTATTAAAGAGAGAGGGAAAAAAAATTTAATTAAAACATGTGAATGGAATGAGAGAATGTTTTCTTTTTAAAATTTTTAAATATTTCATTGAAATGATTCTTTTAATGATTTATCTTTTTTATGGCTGATTTATTGAGAATCTAACAATAGTTTTCAAGATTTTAAGAACTCTCTGGAACTTGAAGCGTTATTAGTAAAACATACTAAAATTTTTATTAGAAGGAAATTGCGAACTTTTAAGGAAGCAATACATTAATTTTTTTTATTTGCATTTCGGTATGCCCTCGAGTATATCCACAACTAACTCGCCCAGTATTACTCGCTCAGTTGCACTTTTTGTTACATTTTCGTAATTTGCTACATATTTCTAAATAAAAGTTCCACTAAATCCTGACACACACTTACATTCACTATTCACTAGAAATTTATTTGCTGTTTGTGTTTGAGCTTGTGTTTGTGTTTGCATTTGCTAAATGTTTTTGTTATTTTTACTAAATGCCAAATATGACCGGCAGCGGTATACATGCATATTTCATAATTCAATGAACCTGCTCAACTGGTATAAAAATGGTATAAGAATGGCATAAAAATGAATGAACTCGCATTTGAAGCCAGCAAGAAAGCATACATATGCAAATTCAGTGCCACAAGAGCAGCAAGAGCAGCAAATCAACAACTCATTCCGCATTAACTGTACGTTTCATACTCCATTAAACTCCTTCTTCTACATTGCATGTTGCAATGTGGCTCCCAAACGTATACACACTCACACATATATGCACACACGCATATGAGCGTTTGTTCATTGGTGTGCATTTTCTTCTACGATTGCTACTAAATATGTAATTACATTGAATTTATGCTCACACAAAGCTAGACAAAAAATCGACTTAAAATTTAATAGTAAAGAGAGCAATATTCTAAACACAAAAACAAAAACAAAAACAAAAACAAAAAACACAGACAAAAAACAAAATGAAAAACATACTACATGAAAGTTAGAAGTTAGTCAAATTAGAAGTTAATAAAAAGCAAAATGAAACTTAATGAAATAAATCTCTGCCTAAAAGAATTGTTAATAAAATTAAAAGCATATTTTTAAGCGCATGCATGCATCATTTTTGACGTGTGTTTGCACACAGGCGTTGCCTGTATTGTGCAGCTTATGCTGTACTGTGCTCTGTTATGTTGTGCCGTGTAGTTGTTTGTATGCACTGAGAATATCCAATTACACGTTTTTGAAAACGCCCGCAAAAATGCTTTCTAGTATATTTTATAGTTCGAATTAAGTGCAATAATATTGTTGTATTTGTTTTAGCTACAAATTTAATATTGTGCGCCACTGCACAAAAGTGCTTCATGTGTACAATATTTGTATGAATGTGTGTGTTTGTATAATTTTTTAATTAAATTGCAATACTCACAGTGTACAACAAGCATGACACGCTTGCTGACCGTCGGTGGTATGCCGTTCGATGCGATGCAGAGATATGCGCCCATATTCAATCGATTCACTTTCGATATAGTCAAATAGGATCCATTGTAGCTGATAACTGTAAAATAACAATAAGAAGATATAGTGTTCTGAGAAGAGTGTGTAAATTTTAGTGCAAATGCGGAATGGAATGGAACACAAAACAAATTTATTTTAATATGAATGTATTAATAAATATAAATTTACTCATGTACAGACTTATATGTTATATGCACGCAGTTGTACAGTTGCACACGTTTACGCAGTCAAGTACGTCAGTCTTCGATCTGTGGAGTATTCATTGACGCTCATACATACTCGAGAGCATAAAATGCACAAAATTTTAGCCACAGAATTTTAGTCGAATTAAATAAAATGGAGTATGCAGAATATTTTTGAGCTAAACTCCATGTGTTCTCTTCTATTTACACAATATTCCAATACTTGAATACAGGGTAAGCAATCAGATAATGATAACAAGTAATGAAACAGATAATGAATAACAAGGACGGATGATGTAGTAGAAGTGCCACAATAGATGATAAATCCGTAGGATGACACATTGGTAGCGTCACTATTGAAAAATCCACATAAATTTTAAAAAGTGGCAACTTCCAACTGGCAGTGGCGGTGACAGTGACAAAATTTCAAGACAATTGAATAATCATTAATTTAGATAATACAACAACAGAACAATAAATTTAAAGCAATTTGGTGTATTGATTTATTATTGCTTTTTGATGCAGAAAATATCCATACAGCAAAAGCTGGGCTTGATAAGAGTTACCAGGAGTTTGTTCCATCGAAACAAATGATGTAGAAGTGGTCCAGTGAGTTTAATCGCAGCCGAATGCCGAACGTGTTAGTTTTCCAAAGGAGGTAGTGATGCCAGAAAACATCGAAAAAATCCTTAAACTATTTTTGCGAACCATGAAGTGAAGTTATAGAAGATAGCTGACACCTTAGAAATTTCTAAGGAATATGTTGGATTCATTTTGTATTTAGCTGTAATCCCACCCCCTTCATTACTATCCTTTCCACCTAATTCATGCCTTTGCTGGCTTAGATGAACCTAGTTCAGTAGGTATTAAGTCTATCTATTTTCTCTCTCCCGTGATTACTGAAATGAAGTTTCCACATTGCTATGAGAATCTTCTCCATTCATTCCTAAGAGGTGTTTTAGTGGGTTATGTCTCACACTGTGGCTTTCGATGCTTTCCACCTACTGCAAAAAAAAAAAATTGTGTATAGATCAGTGGAGCGTGTCCAAGAGCGTTTTTTTTTCTTTTGTCATGAATTACAGAAGTTTGAAAAAGATATGCGGCGTTTGAAAAGGAAAAGAAATTTAGTATAGGTCTCAACTGCTAACAATTTCCGAAGGAGTTTATTAAAGTAATAATAATGTGATAATAATAATAAACAGAAGAGAATCAAGAAATATTGATCCTGAATTTAATACCAAATAACAAACTTAACATTAACTTATTTAAAATTCCACTGTTACATTTTATTGCACCCCAGTGAAAAGGGTAAGAATATTTCCGAGGTAATGCATGTCTGTCGTGATTGCCGATTAAAATCTAGTAAGCACCACCCGATATGTTTTGGAGCATGTATGATAGTGAGTAATCTACAATTGCGACATTCTCCCTGAGATGTGAATATGGTACCATGGGACTCAGGGTTTATAGCTTTAACTGTTCTGATCACTCAAGATTGGCCCTTTTAATATAACGGTATTTATCACTGTTTTGATATGAAATCACATTTAACAATGTTATGCTGTTTCTCATATGAGAATAGAGGAGAGGAGAGGTGTTAGATGGATCTCGCTTGCTCTCAAGAGGAAATTATATCCACATGTATAGCTTCAACTAGTGCCTATACAGTTCCTTGGAATTTCAATAGCAGCATTTATCGTTGCATCATACAGATACGTGTGTTAGGAACAATGTAGTGTTGAGGAAGGTGATCACGTTAAAAAACTATGGACTCTGGGACATCTCATCTGAAATTCATTCAAAAATGCATTTATCTTTATTTATAATAATTTCAAAAATATGCACATAGTATACGATTGTTATAAATGAAATGTTTCCTCAAATATTTATTGAAATATTCAGAAAATAATAAACCGAAACTTTCGCAAAATATCAATTCATCTGACCAATGGTAACTATTTGTCTCAGATATTTGCATCATTTCGTTTTATTTGCATTTGATGTTCTTGGGTAAAGGTATTGTTTCATTGTTTCATTGTTTCATAATTCCGAATACTTACTGCAGACTTGGTTGGGATTTTAGTTGTCGGCGGTACTTATCCAAAAATTTACTTCAAAGCAAATATAAATGCTATGAATTCAATTAAGCTGCCCAGATATCATGCTCATATCTACGTCCTACTGCCAGCAGATCCATAAGGATATAAACTATCAAATTAAAGTCACCCTGTTGCCAGTCGAAAGCATTTAGTGTGGCATGTTGAATTTTTGATTACTTTTGTATAAATTGCTTATCAATGCTTAAGTATAAGTGTGTATGTGCTGCGTGTGTACATTGAAGTCGTCTGCGGTTATGCGCTTCTGCAAATTTCGTGCAGATCTGGCAATGCTGTGTGTGCCGTGAGTGCCGTGTGTGTTCATTTAAATACATTTGCTTTAGTTTCAATTCAAATTCATGTAAAATTCAATTGATTTTCATTTGAATATTTTCTTCATTTTCGGATTTTGGAGATTTGAACATTTGATTTTAGTGTTACTCTGTTGATACTGTACAATCCCTACAAGCACACAAATGCACATATCGAGAAATGAAAAAATCCTCAGAGTAGTTGGTTACTTATATAAATATGTATGCGTGCATGCATACAATTGAATGTATGTAAATGTGCATGCATGTAAGAATGCATAGTTTGGCAAATTTACATCGTCTATGCTTTGAAAATTGGTTAAGAGCGTATAAACGTTTGCATGAGTGGCAAATTATTTAATTTTTAAATTAGGTTTTTTATTTTTGTCTTTAAATTTAAATTAAAATTCGTGTGAAATGCAATAAACTGCAAACAAGTACGAATAAGTGACTTGCCCTGCTTTTTATGATAGACACCAAAAGGACGTTTAAGTTACACGCCATTCAATCTAAGATGTGAGGGTGTTAATAATTGAAAATTACACTTATTGAAAAACAAAAAGATCACACCGATGTTTTTGAGTTCGGCATAACAATATATATCTGCTGATATCTGATTTTGTTTAACACTCTTGTTGGACCATTCATCGGTAATAATGCACTTATTCAAAGAAATAATATGCTGGCTTAGATAAACCTTAGTATTAAACTTCATCTCAACTCTATTTCCTAATTACCGAAATGAACTTTCCTACACGGCTATTCGGGTCGGGAGTAGAAAATCTCTCCATTCACTCTAAACAGATAGTTAGGGTCAGGGGTAGAAAATCCCTCCATTCATTCTTAACAGATAGTTTTAGTGAGTTGAAGTCTCACAATGTGGTTGTCGATGGTTTTCGCCTACCTACTAGAATTTACTTACTGCTGTCCTTCGCTCGTAGCGGAGCATAGGGCTTTAAGGATTTCTCTAAAGCTAATTATATTGCCTGCTTATCTCGCAATTTGATTCCAGGTGAGCTGTGTGACTTTAGCTGTGTACCTCCTGGTTAACGGCTACCTTCTGTATTACAATGTAGAACTTGTGTGGCCGATACACTTCAATTTTCTTCTTTTAATTTCAGTGGCAAATTGTATTTGTTTCGTGCCGTCCCATAGATCAGTATTGGATATAGGGTCTAGCCACCATATATTTAACATTTATTTATGAATACTTGTATGCGCGATTGAATAGAAGACGTGATTTCTACGTTTCGCACACATAGAACAACGCTGACTTTACGTTCGAGTGATATATTCAAATCTTAATACGGGGACTTATTTAGTTTGACTTCCATACATTGTTCAATTGTCCGACAGCTGACTTGGTTAACCAGTCTCAGTCGAGCCGAGTCTTCTGTTCAGCATCATCATTATACGTGCTCATTTGCATCATTACCAGTTCTGATGGATGGAGGATTCTGAATAGTCTAATCGGTACACATTAATGTTGTTTTTTCATGGGTTTCGTACAGGGCGTCATTGGATACACAGGAACTTAGTGTGTCAATTTTGTTCTGTAACTGGGAAGTTTTATATCTTAGGAGACAGATATCATCTTCATACTCAACATTGCCAAGTTTGCTAAAGAGTGTCCATTGTATTCCGATGTTATCGCTTCGCACATAACACATGATGTCCGTTCATTGCCAACATAAAGAATACTGGTTGTACAATGATTTGATGATGTTAAAAAGTTTAACTCTCGCCTTGTGAGAGTATTCCATAGGCACTCTCTAACCATGCTTTCAGAAACTTTTTTGAAGTAAATGGAAACAGCGTACACTGAGGTCCTTAACTCGTTACATTGCTCGAAAATAATACGCATAGTGTTAATTAAATCATGGTTTGGTCTAATGCTGTATCGAATTTCTTGTAGAATTCCTACCACATCTGCTGACATTCTTGATGGAATTATCTAAAAATGTGTTTTACTCGGTATGAGGAGTAATATAATACCTGAATAATTATTGTAGTCTTTTAAGCACACTTTTTGAGGAAGTTGACTTTTTTGGGAATAGTGAATATGACACTATTCACACTTTTGATGGAAAATCTAGTAGAAACTAAAAGTTGTTTTAGACTAACATGGCACAATTTACATTTTTTGTTTTTTTTTAGAATGATTTCTGCACCATCAAATCAACAACCATCGAAATGTTACGGCTGACTCCCAGACATATACGAACTAAAATGCCCCCTCTTCGGAGAGATTTATTTTAGCTGCGATCATTCTCGCTTTACTTCGGAAAGGGTCTCTTTTATATTAGTTTCTTAAACTATGCTCTTTTTATTTACGAACTGCGTCTACTAGTCAAGTTTCTATTACGCCGTTGTAAGTGTGTTCTTTTGGGTTTGAGGACTTTAATCACTTACGACAAATGATGTCTAGAAGTGGTGTGAGAAAAGCAACAT